TCCAATAAGAAGAGAAAAAATATAACATAAGTGATGTGATGAGAGTTTTCAGGTAAAAGCTGTACAAAACTGAACCAGCTTAGAGGAGGCCTTTCATCATTGAAGCTGTTGCGTCAGCGAGTCACATGACCACTGTGACGCCACGTTTCTAGAACTATCTTGTTTCTTCATGAATGCTCTAGTGTTTGCTAGGTGGGGTAGGCGGGTATATATATAAGAGGGGACAACGTGACGCGGTAATGTAATGTGTGCGTAGATAGTGAGTAATTGATCTGCAGTCAGAAGTATTATTGACGTTCGTTGTTATAGCGTTTGTTTAGCGCGATTGTTGAAGTTGAGTGTATCTGTAAAGTTATATTCGGAAAGAATAAATCAGTTTTATTAAGTAAATACTTGTGTCGCTAAAGTTTCGTCGGAACGAAGTTACGGGAAGTTGAGTGGTGAGCAGAGCACAGATAGCCCATTGTGTAGCTTTGTGCTTAACTTCAAACAAATTTGACGCAGGTTACCAAGCCCTTAAAAATTTTACACATGGAGGATATGAAACAAAATATTTTTTTAGGTTTTATATATACTTTTGAATGACTAAAAAATCATAAATTACTAAATCAATACCATAGAATTCTACTATATTTTATCAAGCTTAGTAACTAAGCTGTATTTGGGTCTAGAAAAATATGAAATTTCGAGCAGACTAAAGACACAACCTACTTCATTGAAATCTTGATTGACAAGAAAAAAAATAGCAGAAGGAACGTTAGAAATGCTAATAAAACCACTCTAAGCTTCCAATTGATTATTCTTGTCATATATAGAAGTAAGTATATATAAGGAAGCGTTTCCAAAAATGGAAAGAGATGAGCGGAGTACCACTGTGTTTGATTTATTACGTGAGCAATATCTTAGCAAACAGAAAATATAAGACCTTCTTATTTTATATTCTAGCTTGTCAATATCTGTAATTTGAGTTTCTAATTCGTATGAAATTATAGACTTAGTATTTTAACTTCACAAACATCTAATTTGAACCAGTTCTGCATTAAACATACCACGTGACACACAAAAATCAATGTATGTCTGTGTTTTATTAATATTTGCTTTTAAATTAACAAATTGAGTAATGTATAGTTCTAAGATTTGAATAAATTGACATAAATTCATGAAATAGTAGTTCATAGAAATGCCAGAAATTTGTTCCAACAATGGCTTTTATATTATGTTGCTTAGCAATAAAAGTATAACCTAATATTCTTGTTAAGAGGCTATATGCTGTAAGTATAAAATTAAATGTATAAACTACAAAATTGAAAATAATATATTTGTTGTTTTATAATTTAGAGTCTCCATTAACTAAAAGGTTTGTATTTATGATTTAGATTTAAAATCGGAGGACAAGTCAGAGAGAAGTTTATCTTTATAAACAGGTCACATCCCATGAAGGAGTAACAAAAGTTATAGGTTATACTTTTATGCTAAAATGGGTTCAGAATACACGCACTGACATAGTCATCTAGAATAAGTCAACATAATAACCCGAGCGAAGCCGGATACTTTCGTTAGTAAATGAATAAAAAAAGACACCTAAGTTGTTTTGAACCCGCTCGAAAGAATAATGTTGCTTCTTCGTTTTCTTTTTCGCTGCTGTGCAGATCTTCAAATCTCAATTTCTGCGGCTGCCCAATGACAGGTTAGGCTAAGGAAACAGAGATTGTGTTTGTCAGGTGATTCTCCAAGTAAAATTTAAAAAAGCTTTTTAGAATGACAAACCGTACATATCAAACACACAAGAGAAACTGGAAAATATTTAAACCTTTTACTATTTCTGATCGGGACAAAAAAGTAGCGTTAGAAACTAAGAGGATCTAAGTTTTTACTGGGACGTCTGATAACCCTGAAGTTGCTCGATAATCACAGTAGCTGTCTGTATCTTCATGTCAGTATTTAATATTTCTTAATCTACGCATTTCATTTCAAAATGCAATATGTTCTAGAAACTTGTTATGGCATTTATTGGCTTTCTGAATGGAGTAGGCTCTAAACACAGGCCCGTACGAAGAATGTTTGAAATGGTGATTCTAAACTGCGAGATCAAAACCAACATGTACTTCGCACAATCGGCATGCAAAGTATGCTAATACTACAGAGGTCTGGTGGCATGCCCCCACCCTCCCAGAAAATTGTTAATAAAAAAAAAGTGCTATGAGATTAAATCTGGAAGCAATTTTGCATGTAATATAGCTTAACCCATAGCATGGCTGTTCACATAATATCCACATACATCCAGAACGTTAAATACCATAAGCAGCTGCACTATAACCATATTAGCATAGTTGTTTTTTGTTTTTTTACATTTCAAACATAGGGGGTTCAGCCGAACCCCTCCTACGTAAATGCGTGAAATGTTGTAAATAATAATGAAAATGGAGAGAGTTTCATCCACCATTTCGGTTACGTTTCTTTAGTAATATTCTTCGTAATATCATTACACTATTTATGCATTAATATATAACTATATATTATTAATTAATTATGCTAATTACAAAACTACATATGTCATCTGGGTTTCGAGTTCAAACAATTTTTCGACAGCCTCCACGCCTTTAACTCAGTTGCTTTTGGTTAAATTGTAATCCTTTTATTTTTACACTTTTATTTATTTATAGTGGTTATCACGTTATTATTACTGTATTATTATTTCTCGTTGCAAGTATAAGTTGAAAATTTATTACAAGTTATAAATATTAACAAACTCTTAAATGATGATAATGTACTGTTGTAATGTGTTCTATCGTTGAGTGTATTCTTTTGGATTGTCTGGTAAAAATGATGCCAAGTCCAGTCCACGTAATAATAGTAAATTAATTTATTTCTTCAATAACGTTTACTAGAGACTTCGTTAATCTCAGTTCCTGCACTATCATTTTGTACAGATTTCACCGTCAGTTTTTATCGGGCTTAAAAGCCCTCCATAATACCGATGTGTGCTATGAAACGTCCCTTCGTATTGTGTACAAATCTGAACTCCTACAAACAACCTGTATTACAAATAATGACTAACTCTGTGGGATTAAAATTGTACAATGCACTGTAGCACTGTAATTTCCATCGAAAGACAGTCTAGCATATCACAAAACTAATTTAAAGCCAGGCGAATTTTATGTCAAACTGCTAGAAACGCTTTGTGAATTCATTATACTGTAGTCCAATTTCCGGAGGCTTTTCTGCAAAATTACTAGAAATATTTATTAGTTCTATCGACAGACTGTTCTAAGTGCAAATTAAGTACAATATTGTTTCGAAGAAATTATGATAAAATTGCAATTGTACAATTGCACATACTTTTCGTTTGTTGTTAAACGAGAAGCTACAGATAAGCTACCGGTGCTATGTCCACTGTAGGTATTGAAACACGAGTTTCAGCATCATAAGTCCTCAGACTTAGCCCTGAGTCATTGAGACACTTCACACATACTAAACATTGAGTAGTGATGCAGATACTGTGACCTAAACAGATCAATTAACAACTAAGTAAACAATCTCAACGCACAATTATACTTAGTATATTAGAATGATTAAAAAATAGATAAAAGAAATCAGTAAAAATTTATCATCCTAAAGACATTGTTCGCCAACCTCTTATTCACGTGAGAAGCTACCTTTGCCAAAAGTGCATAATATATATAACAAAGTATTTAGCCAAGACCAAATACATAACGGTTTCTTGTTTCTTTCATAATGACTAGAGTATTTGTAATAACTATAATTATTTTTATTTGATAGTAATGTTCAGTCAATTAACAGACAATTTAATTTAAAAAATTGAATTTATGCTTACGAAAACGCAACTGTGTTCTTTACACTTAGATAAATGAGACTGACACTTTAAGACGTTCTATTTACATACATTAAGGTACATTTGGTGTAAAGCAAATATATATATATATATATATTAAGGTTCATCTCTGAGAGTACAATATTCATAAAACATCAAAACATTTAAACAAATGTTCAGTAGTCTTTAAGTAAATTATAAGTTTAGGTTCTCAGTTGAATTCGAAAACACAAAGACATATTAATTTTCATATTATTTGTATTGGGGAAATTGTACTATAACAGTCACGTAGACAAAATATTCCTTGATATAGAATCATAAGATCTCACCGATTAGATGAAAACACCCCTACTATAGGTATTGCATTACTACATAGAAATTCATTATGTGTATGAAACGTATCGCCATCTGATGGCATTAGTAAGTATCAGGTTTCGATACCCATTGTAGAGAAAGCACAAATAACTTATTGTGTAGCTTTGCGCTAAACAGCAACAAAAGAAGAAAAAAGAAAGAAAGAAACGTATAAATTAATCATACAAACGAAAATATTATTATTAATGTTTCCCTAAATAACTCTTCTACTGTTACGATTGCAAATTTTCATTGTTCTTCCAATTGTCACATAAACATAGACTTTCGTTAAAATCTATTAACACACTAAACAATACATCATTATTAGGTAGTTTAAACAATAAAAAAATCAGCTTTTGAATGCATTACAACTAATACCAATGGAAATTAATTACTAGATATTCTTGAAACGAACAATGCAATACATCTAAACGATAACTTTCCTACTCATACATACTTTGTGAATGATACAAGTGACATTTTAAACTTTTATACGTGCTCACCAGCTATCTCATCTTATGTTACTTCTTTCATTGTTGATTATGATGTAGAATCATGGTTTTCCAACCCATGCACCGCGGAGCAGTAGTGCTCCGCAAAGCAAATTTTAATGCTCCGCGACGCATATTGAAACTTTCTTAATTGTTATGAGAAATGAAATGTACTGCAAAAAGAACATCATAGAAATGGCTCAAATGCTTGTAACTAATCAGTAAATAATCAGTGAGAAAGTTTTTTGTACTAATCATCCTCTAATTGTAGCTGTATTTGAAATTCTCATTTATTTTTACTTATTTATACCCTCAATTGTAACTTTTTTCTCGTTTTTTTTTCTGCATATGCGCATGAAAGCCTGTATGTCAGTGTTGCCAACTTTTATTTGGACCTTGGAGCTAAAGTTAAAAAAAATTAAGTTAATTCCTATATTTACATGTTAATTTAAAAATTTTTATTCGCTAAAATGAAAATATGTATAGGCTAAATCCCTATAAAGTGTTAATTATGAAATAAATTACCGCTAGATGTAAATAAACTAAATTGGCAACCCTGCTGTTCATACTGTTACGTCTCCGTTTGTTAAGGGCATCGAAACCCGGTTTCTAGCATTGTAAGTCCGCTGTGCCACTGGGGGGCTTTGCGTCAAGCAGCAACTGAGTACAAAGGTCGTAATTAGAAGAGAATTGTTTACTTTACTTCTTTAGTTACTGTTTATGTTTTAAGAAAAATAACTTTAAGAACTTATTTCAAAAGAGCAATAATCTATATACATATATAATAATTGAAATGTGACCGTATTTTACAAAATACTAGTCGACTAAAACACAGCCAAGACAAGTTACTTTGTACAGACCAAAGGTCACCTTCAATGCTTTATGTTATTTGATTCTGTAACATGAATGCACGTGAGCCGCATCGTTGTAACTTCTGTA